TTGTTATAGTTTAACTGGCAGATTTTTTCTTACTATATATAAAATGACAGTGTGACATATAATCTGTAACATCTCAGTATACAAAGAACAGTACTATCAACGTACAAATTCTACACCTTGCTTCCTTTAGTCATTTCTTTTTTTTTAAACTAATTTTTATTGGAGTATAGTTGCTTTACAATGTTGTGTTAGTTTCTACTGTGCAGCAAAATGAATCAGCCATACATATACATTTATCCCCTCTTTTTTGGATTTCCTTCCCATTTAGGTCACCACAGTGCATTAAGTAGAGTTCCCTGTGCTATACAGTATGTTCTCATTTGTTATCTATTTTATACCTAGTATCAAAGTAAGCCCCACTGCTTTTGATTTCTCTTAACTCTTTTCTTCCCCTTTCTTTACTTCCCTCCACATTGCTTCTTTCTTATCACTCCTGCTTCTTGTAGCTTCTCCTGTGCTGAACTGTTGCTCAAAATGTTTGGCCCTTTTGGCCATTGCCAATCAGAATGTTTCTTTCTTTACAAAGTCAAACCAATCAATCATCATAAAAATGACAGGAGTATTTGCAATTGTCCACGTCTCTTTTGTTCTTTCTGTACAGTCAGTACCATAAGGACTCAATATGTTTTGAACGAGTACTTTTGCATAATTCTTTTCACTGGCATTGCTTTATTTGGAGCCATCAGGCGAGACTTACTGGTTATTAGCTTCTCTGTTTAAATTTGGTGTTCAAAGGCTACTGCCCTTAAGACAGAGGTTTAATTTTTTTTCCCTTTCCTTTTGAAATTCAGCTATTTCTGAGTTCAGAACCATTCTGAAAGCCATAAAGCAAATTATGCTTTATTGGATGTTTGTACTGGTATTGAACTTTAAAGAATATAATGTTCATTTGGATTTATATTTTAATATATATGTAAACATTAAAAATGTTTAATACTTCATATTTCTTGCTATTATGCCTCCTACAGTGGCTCTTAATTTTTTAATTGGCGTATAGTTGATTTATAATGTTGTGTTAGTTTCAGGTGTACAGCAAAGTGAATCTGTTATACATA